ACCAGGCAAAGCCATTCAAAGATAGGGATAAGGCTAAAACGTCCTCACCACTTTGCACTTACTGTGGTTACACTGGACATAGGGTGGATACATGTTATCAGCTCCATGGATATCTTTCAAATTGGTTAAGGCCAAGAGGTAAAAGAAATACATCAGGAAAATCCTCAGCACCTGCTGCAATTACACAAGACCGAACAACATTGAGCAGCAAAAACTGTCATTCACTCCAAAGGAATTCCACAAACTTATGGCACTTGCTAATTCAACACTAAACGATCCTCCTGAACCAGCAGTTAACTTTGCATCCACTTCTTCTTTCTCTGGTAATATTCATCTTGCATCACATACCATGTGTTGCAACTCTACTTCTCCAAAATTGAAATTAGATTCTGACTGGATCCTAGACACAGGTGCCACAGATCACATGATCTGTTCCCCTTCCCTATATCACTCTAACTCTCAACATATCCATACTTTTGTGTACCTTCCTAATGGTATCAAGATACCAGCATCTCACACTGGAACCATTTGTCTTTTTAACTCCATCCTATTACATAATGTTCTTTGTGTTCCCTTTTTTACTTTCAATTTACTATCTGTTTCAAAACTTATTGCTCAAAGCAATTTGTGCCTCACCTTTACTAAATTCTATTGCACATTGCAGGACCAACTAATAAAGAAGATGATTGGGATTGCATTTGAAAAGAATGGATTGTACCACTTCAATAAAACCTCACCAAAGAATCAGACCAGCACACCCTCCAACTTTGCACCTCAAGCATCTGCCATCACCCCTCACCAGCTGGACTAATGGCATTATAGATTAGGCCACATTTCCAATTCTAGGNCACCTCTAGCATCTGCCATCACCCATCACAAGCTGGACTTATGGCATTATAGATTAGGCCACATTTCCAATTCTAGGCTGCTTTCTCTTAAACAGATAGACTCTTCCATTTCCTTTGATTGTAATAATGTTTGTGATATTTGTCCCATGGCTAAGCAAAAAAAGCTGCCATTCCCTGTATCAGTTCACAAATCAAAGAAGTGTTTTGAATTGGTTCATTTTGATATTTGGGGTCCCTTTATCCCCATTTCCTATTCTAATTTCAAGTATTTCCTCACCATTGTTGATGATTTCACAAGGTGTACTTGGGTATACATGATGAGAGCTAAATCTGAAGCCTCATACTTAATCAAAACATTCTGCTACTTGGTGAAAAATCAGTTCTCTACTTCCATCAAAACCATACGTTCTGACAACGGACCTGAATTTCTACTCAACAAATTTTATCACAAATATGGAATAACACACCAAAAGAGCTGTGTTGAAACCCCACAGCAAAATGGAATCGTGGAAAGAAAGCATCATCATCTTTTGTGCACTGCCAGGGCACTGATGTTCCAATCAAACCTGCCCCTCAATTTCTGGAGTGATTGTATCTTAACAGCAGCCCACATCATCAATAGAATTCCCACTCCTCTTCTCCAAAACAAATCCCCAATTGAAATGCTATCTGGTAAACCTCCCAACCTTTCACACCTAAAAGTCTTTGGCTGCCTTTGCTTTGCCTCTACTCTCACACACCACAGAAAGAAATTTGATCCAAGAGCTACAAAATGCCTTTTTCTGGGTTACCCCTCTAACAATAAAGGCTATAAGCTCATGGATATCTCCACCAACAAAGTGTTTGTCTCCAGAAATGTCATCTTCCATGAATTCATTTTTCCCTTCAGGTCAATCACTCAAAATCCTGATCAATCACCCTCCTTGTTTCCTATCTCAGATCCTTTCTCAGACTACAACTCCTCCAAACTTGACCCACCTTCACCTCATCTTTCAACTAATGATGCCCCTTTTCCCAACACTCAATCCCCTCTCCTCCCCTATAGCTCATCCTTCAAATATGTCACCAACCAATGACACCCAAGCTCCTCCTCTCCCTGCAGATCATATGCATATCAAAAAATCAACAAGAATTCGCCAGCCACCTATTCATCTACAAGATTACTACTGTGGTACAGTGTGTTCAATTCAAGAATCATCCCAGGATTCAGCTTCAACTAGTTGCTCCTCAAAGGCAGGTAATAACCCTTCTCCCTTTCACCAATTTCCAATTGCAGGCACTCCTTATCCCTCAATCATTTTTATTCAGAACATAGACTATCCACATCTCACAAAGCCTTCCTAGCATCCATCTCCTCTCTTGTTGAACCTAAAACCTACAAACAGGCCTCCAAATTCCCTGAATGGCAAGCTGCCATGAGATGTGAAATCTATGCTTTGGAGTTTAACAAAACTTGGAACCTTGTCACTCTCCCTCCTACTAAGAAAGCCATTAGCTGCAAATGGGTGTTTTGTGTTAAATACAAAGTTGATGGCTCTATTGAAAGACACAAAGCCCGACTGGTGGCTAAAGGATACACTCAACAAGAAGGCCTGGATTTTTTTGACACATTCTCTCCTGTTGCAAAAATCACTTACATCCTGTTAATCCTTGCTGTGGCTGCTATTAAGCACTGGCACTTATATCAATTGGATGTCAACAACGCCTTCCTCCATGGTGATTTGCATGAAGAAGTTTATATGGACTTACCTCCTGGAATGCCAGCTACTGGAAACTACAATGCCTGTAAGCTTTTGAAGAGTCTTTACGGCCTTAAACAAGCCTCCAGATAGTGGTTTGCAAAGTTGTCTACTGCACTTATCAACTTTGGTTTCAGTCAAGGTCATTCAGATTCTTCTTTGTTCATCAAAAAGTCCAGTAATTCTTTCATTGCAATTTTGGTATATGTGGATGATATCCTCCTAGCCAGCAACAGTTTTCTGGAAATTCAAAGACTGAAATCCTTTCTGCATAACACATTTACCATCAAAGACTTAGGCCAGCTCAAGTACTTTATTGGCATTGAGGTTGCTAGATCCAAAAACGGCATCTCATTATGTCAAAGGAAATACACTCTTGACATCCTCACAGAAACTGGCCTCACTGGCTCCAAACCTGCTGCTTTCCCCATGGAAGCCAACTTAAAGCTCTCCTCCACTGATGCACCCTTCCATGATGATCCATCTGGCTATCGAAGGCTAATAGGTAAACTCCTTTATCTAACCATCACCAGGCCTGACTTGGCCTACTCAGTTCAGGTTCTCAGCCAGTTCCTTGCATCACCTGCTGTAAGTCACTTCCAGGCAGCAACAAGAGTCCTTCGTTACTTGAAAGCCACATCAGGAGAAGGCCTCTTCTTCTCTGTATCATCAGACTTTCATCTCAAATCCTTTTCTGATAGTGACTGGGCAGGCTGCATTGACACACGCAGGAGTGTCACTGGATTTGCAATCTTCCTTGGCTACTCCTTAATTTCCTAGAAATCAAAGAAACAAGAAACCATCAGCTACTCCTCAGTTGAGGCAGAATATAGAGCTCTTGCAACTACCACTTGTGAAATTCAATGGTTGCTGTATGCTTTAAATGATCTGGACATCCTGCATCCTCATCTAGCATCCCTCTACACTGACAGTAAATCAGCTCTATCCATAGCTACCAATCCTGTTCAGCATGAAAGAACTAAACACATTCAGATTGATTGCCATCTAGTTTGGGAAAAGTTTCGTGATAACATCATCAAGCTATTCCATATTCCCTCCAAGCTCCAGCTGGCTGACATCTTCACAAAACCACTCGATTCCTTACTCTTTCATCACAACCTTCGCAAGATGAACATCCTTAATATCCATGTTCATCTTGAGGGGGGGTGTTGGAGTATAGAGGCCAAAATAGACAGCATGGAAATGCAACAAAAGGCGGCAATCAAAGAAGCTAAAGAAGAAGAAAAGTTAGCTCAAAGTTAGTTAAAGTTAATTAGCTCAAAGTCAGTTAAAATTAGTTATTCAATTCTGTTAGAGTTTGGTTAGTTCGGTTAACATCAGTTAATTGCCCCTCTGTGTATATATATATAGCTGCATTGTATTTATCCCAATTCATTCGATCAATTCATTCTATAAAGAGCAGATAATTTCTCTCATTTGTCTTCTTCAATTCACCATTCAAAACTTCACATTTATCACTATGAAATGTTTGAGCACGTTTACTCCACTTGCCTTTATTGATTAGTAAAAGGAACTATCATGAAGTAGATGGCCTTAAGCTGGCATTGCAGTGGCCAAATGCCTATTGTAATACAGGATACCAGAACTGTGAACTTCCAGTTCCACAAAAATTCAAAATTCATGGTTTTTTGCCAGTGGATAACAACGGACAAGTAATGCATAATGAAGACCAATTTGGAAGAAACTACTTGAAGGAAGAGGATGTACGTATAAATTTCCTTCTAGATTACATAGTATTAAAAATCATTCTTTTCAGTTTTAGCTTGGTTGCCAACTCAATTTTATGATTAGCTTACCTTCTATAAGATTCGGCACTTGTGTTAATATGTTGCAGATATAAAGGAAGAATTGGATGAAATGTGGCTGGATCTTCGTCGTGAAAAGCAAAACTTTTATTTCTGGGCCGAGGAATGGAAAAAGCATGGAAATGATATTGGATATACCCCAAACTCCTATTTCAAGTTGGCTCTACTATGTAAGAAAAAATTGGATGAGACTATCGAGGGAGATCTAGTTGAATATTTAAGCGGAATAGGTATATATTCTATAATATTAAAATTTTATCAACTTAAAGCTTATATATATTGTAATGTTCATTAATTGTTGTTGTAGGTTTCGAACCGCATGCAACTGCTGACTACTGGAATCAACAATTTCCAATAAAAATGCTGAAAAAAACTAAATCCGTTGCAGAGATAAAGTGTAACACGGCCGATGGCAAATCCCAACTTTTCGAGATTTATATATGCTTTACGGGGACAGGAGTTATTAAACGTTGTAATTACCTTGTAGATGCAAAAAATAAGATGTATTACTATGCTCACAATTGCGATCATAGGATTATATTCCCTGTCGAAAAGGAACAGGAACAGGAACCACTGAGTAGATCCAATAAAGATGAATTGTAAAATCAGTGGATGCAATTAATAGTATTGAGTTTGAATCCTATGTAAAACTCCAGTTAAGTAATGAAATCTCTATTCAACATTTCTTGTTTTTATCAATACATTGGATAGTTGGACGTTGGTACAGGCACTTTTGAGGTTCATCGAGTCCAGTAGATGATCGTTCTTGTGATGCTGTCCTCTTTTTACAGGTCCAATTGGCTAGACTTTTGGAAATTTTGTGCTAATTTGTGCTAACGCGATTTCTTCAAGGTCATCAAATTAGGCCACACGCACTAGCACTAGCACTAGCACTAGCACTAGCAGCATGCTGAAGTTTGGGATTTGATACATTAATTATTCACACAGCAGAAACTTGGAAGATTCCACAGCCTCAGAAAACCTCCATCCTTCATGTTTTATTAGACTCAAAAAATTGATATTTATGCAGAATATTTGCACCTTTTAATGGAAGCCTGTGGTGGTGGCCATGACACAATCGCCTAAGGCCCCTTTTTATGTGGGCCCACCAAAAAAATTATTACAAATAGTTAAAAAAAATTACAAACAAAATAAAGACCAAATGTAATCAACTACGTTGAATTAATTCGGTTGCCCAATTAGCAAACATACTAATCTTTAATTAAAGTATAAAAGCTAGTTTAGTCCTGTCATGATTTGTAGAATATTTAAAGCTTCATTATGTAGATATCTTAGTAAGTTCAATTAAAATAGTTATATATATATACAGAAATGATCTAATGAGCACCGGTGCTCATCTTATCCTAAGCACCAATGAGTTGGCACATTAATTCATTGGTGGATTGGAACTCACAAAATCTTTATCCACCAATGAATTAATGTGCCAACTCATCGGTGCTTAGGATAAGATGAGCACCGGTGCTCATTAGATCATTTCTGTATATATATAT